TTCAGCTAGAATCCTAAGATATGTGGATATTTCAAAACAATATTCTAAAAACATCAGGGCTGGGGACTTAGCTCAGCAGCACAAGTGCCTGCCTGGCAAGCGTGAGGTCCTAAGTTCAATTCCCTGTACCAAAAGAAAAAAGAAAAACATGCAAAATTATAATAGCTTAATGGATTTTACTGTGTGTGCACTCATGCAATACAGGATCATAAAAATAAACAGGTTTACTCCCTGGGACAGCTTTCATGCCTTTAATACCAACAAAATATCCCCCTCAATTGTAAGCAAATAAGAACACTGAATTTAGTGAGGAAAAAGTTTTCATATTAAACTCATAGCATACTAATATGGAGAGATTTACTGAGTTAGAGAACAGCATGGTTAACATCTGAATTGGAAACTCTACATTACATGTGTGCTTTAAACACTATCTGGCGATCCCACCTACTCCTAGCTAAGACGTAATCAGAAAGAAGCCTGGCTGTCCCTAGCAGCTGTAAACAGCAGGCCCTGGGTACTGGAATGCACCACTACAAAGCTCAAGCAAAAACACTAAAACAATAACTACCAACTAACTCTTCCAAGCTGCCTCCATGTAGACAGAGAGGTAGTTCCAGGTGCCCACAGTCTTCTGCAAGAAAAATTATGTCAGGTTAAATGAGGAGCCTCCAGCATGCTTTCTGCACAAAAAGGCAGCAGCCTAAAGTTCTCATAATCCTCTAGTGGGCTTTACTAATTTTATCTTCTTATTCAGATTTGTAAATAACTACAAGACTAATAAAGAAAAGACAAAAAGATTGTATGGAGTACCTGGGAGAATTGTAAAGGATGCTTACTAGCAACTAAGTCTTACATGGTAATTACAGAAATCAAGGTTAAATAAGAAAACTGAGTTTGACAAACTACTACTGTGTGACCCCTTGCCACAAAAGAGGTAAGAAACCAAGTGAAACATCGTTACCTAATTTAGCTGTTAGATAAACAGTGGTAGTGCAGCCTGGCTGAAACAGCACACAACTACAGAACAGGATTACTGTAAAACATTCTCAGAATCAATCCTGGTGCCTGGTGTACAAACACTGTAAACACAATTTATTGGGCTTAGGTTCAAACAGACCAAAAACTGATTTGTTTCACAGGCAAAAATGTGGCTATCAACTGCTATCCGTATATCACAGAAGCACGGATTTAAATGCCATATAGATGCTTGAATACAGTACACCTGTGTTCACTGGCCAGCAGCCTCTTAGGCAACACTGTGACAAATGATTACACTTCCCACTCAGTAAAACAGGAAAGTAAACCTGGGTCAAGGGGACAAGTACAACAGGGTGGTTAGGAGAACAAACTCTGGGGCTGCAGACCAGCTCAAGCTCGGTGGGAGGGCAACTGCCTCGCCAGCCTGAGGCCATAGGTTTGATCTCCAGGCTCCCCCAACCTCAGGAGGGAGGGGAGGGCTTACAACGACAAAGTATGTCAGCCTTGGTGTCACATAGCCGTTGAGTCTAAACCTCAAACTGAGAAATCACTGTGTGACCTTGAACAAATCATTCAGTCTAAGCCTCCAGGTCCTCATTTGTAAAATGGAGACAATGCTTCACCCAGCAATGCCAGGATTTGACAAGGATTCACGGAAAGCGCCCATCCTGCCTGGCACAGAGAAAGCAGGTATGCAATCAGCAGCAGCAGCAGCATAATCAACCTCTACAATCAGCATGAGTACTGTTTTCCAACCTCTAAGAAAGCTAATAGTTTCCCAGTACCCAGGTAAAAATGTGTAATTATTATAAAGACATCCACACATACTTCATAAAGGCAGCTTTTCTTTCCATATTATAGGACTTTCTATTTCTCCTTGTTTAGTAAGGAATAGTTCAGACTAATTCTGAACAGATTTACACAGGGAAGCTTCCACACAGATCTTAAGATGGGTAATTTTCTTTCCATTTCTTTATTTATTTTTAAACAGTAATTGTCAAAGAGGTCTGGATTAATGATCTAACCAGTTTGGGATGAATTACAGCTACTACTATTAGGTATGTTTGTTTGGTTTTTGTTCTTTTGGAAATGGAAATGACAGAAAAGGAAAGAGAGAAAGAAATTCTTCAAATTACCTCACACACCCTTACTCAACACAGAAAAATAACAAAAGATTGACTGTTAAAATTAAGTCATAACTGAATTAGAAAATGGGCTGTAGCTCCATGATCCAGTAGCTTGCCTAGCACATTTAACACACTGGGTTCAATTTCCATGTTTAATTCAATTTCTATTAAAAAAAAAAAAAAAGGAGAAGAAGAGGAAGAAGAAAGGAAGAAATAAAAAAAGAACTGGAAGACCTGGAAGAGAAAGAAAAAGAACCTGGTAAAATGTTTTCCCAGGTAAAAGCCAAGCCAGGGAGCCAGACAGGGTGGCACAGCTGTGATCCCAGCACTCGGGAGGCTGCAGTAGGAACACTGCCCTGAATTCCAGGCCAGCCTAAACCACACAGCAAGAATCTGTCTCAAAAAAAAAAAAAAAAAAAAAAATCTAAGAAAGGCCAAGTGAAAAACCAATTATTCCTATGGTCTCAGTAATAACCACCATCCCATCCTTCTAAAGTCATGGCTTACATTTCCAGTTTATAACCGTCGCTCTCTGATATTTTAATATGCCATAAGCTCAAAAGTACATTTACCTTATACAATCGTCCTAACCAAATATTCTACATCATTTTCACTAAGGACAAAAATAAACTCTTAAGAATTATTATTTTTCTGTAATTCACAGGAAATTATTAGTAATTCAATCATTTAAAAATACATTCCAAAAAATTTTCTTAAAATACTTTCTAAAAGATAGAAGATTTGGGTAAAAAAAGTTTTTCATGAAAATAAATCAGTCATAGATTTGTTCAAAGGCAACCAAAAACAAACTTCAAAATAATACAAATTTTAAAATTGAGTAGGGGCCAGGTATATAGCTCAATGGCATAAGCACCTGCCTGGCAACCACAAGGTCTTGAGTTTGATTCCCAGTACCAAAAAAATAAAACAAAACTGAGTAACAGCAGGATTACTGAACTAAGAAGTGAAATTAAACTTTCAACGAAAAAAGATTATAAAGGTAAAGAAAAGATTCCAGCATGGAAGCTGGACATGATAACACACAACTATAAGCTCAGCACTCAGAAGGCTGAGGCAGGGGGATTGCCAGGAGTTCCAGCCCAGTACAAAGTAACAAAGGGTTACAAAGTAAGTTCAAGGCCTGCCTGAGCTACATAGCAAGATCCTGTCTCAAACTCTCCCCTCCAAGAAAAGATTCCAGCAGGCAATACAAACTAGTGTTATCAATAATCTATAAAGTGATGAGGAAAATCTTGAATTTAAAGAGAACTCATAATAAATTATCTGTATTAATACTGGAAAACTTATCAATAGAGAATTTCAGAGGTATTTTTAAGCATTTTAGGGCATCTTCCTGTATTACAGACATTACCACAGAATGAAGACCACGTTGGTTAGGTACTGTAATTAACAACAGAAAAAAAAATGACATTCCTAAAAGAAACTGTAATAGGGATAATGGTCATTTTTTTAAAACCACAAGCATCCAGAAGAATCTCCTACTTTTAAATGCAAATCACCAAGTTCTGAAGCACACTGCTCTGTTTTTATATGAAAATGACTGCACTGTAGTCCTGCTCTAGAGAAGACACCCACTTGGCCAGGAAAACAGGACAAGCATGCATTTTGTGTGTTTAATGACTATGTCTAAGACGCTGTCACCAGGTACATGACCTTTTTCAGAAGAAAGACCACGGTTAGCGATCAAAATTGAAAAAGCTTAATTTTGAGGATTGTCATGTCATTAAAGGTTATACACACATTTCAATACATGCACGAGCATCTCTACAATTAACTCAGCATGCCCTGGTTTGCAAAAACACTATCTAATTACTGGAAACTTGCCAAATTTCATAAAAATAATATACATTGCTATTTACCTATTCATGACACGGTAAAACAAACAGTATCAAAACACAAGAAGTGATGTGCTATGCACACACCTCAGGTTCTGCGCTTCTTTTTCTGCGCTTCTTTTTCTTCCCCGTTAAACACTCAACAGAGGGTGAAAGGGAAGGCACACTTAGACTTAATGTATCAAGTGATCAAGGTTAAAAAAGAGTACTTTTAAACTAGAATGAGTCAAGACATAAAGAAGCCATAATTAAGGAATCCATCCCTTTGTCAAAGGTTTAAGCTTTTTGCTAAAACCACATTTGTTTTAGGAAATTATATTTGTTGTCAGGCAAATAAAAACAAATAGTGAAGAAAGCTAGACATACAGCCTCATAGAAAGTTAACTTCCAAGCTATATATTAATAACGAACTCTGGTTTTCATAAAGCCCTTTTTTCTAGCTGAGACAAGTCAAATCCAAAATAAGTGAACTGTTTTTGGTGGCACTTGGCTCACCCATCCTCCACCCCCAAAGGCAGGACTCAATCTTCTGTCTCCAAAGGTCACCAGACAACCAAAAACAGAAGCTTACAAAAACTGCCTTTCCAATCTTTGAAACATCAGTGTGGAAGTTTAGGGAGGAGGGAAAGGATTGCACTGGGTTTAGAAGAGCTATTTAACAGTTTTTCTAAGTGCCTGTGATCAGTATAGGCCACCCAAAGGACATGGCCCTAGCCAACCCCTACTTTCACCTACCTACTCACAACCCAGATAACCAGCGCAGCAGAATTCCCAAGACCAGAGTCCCCCCTCCCCGCAATGGGGGGATGTTATGCACGGAAAGTATAAGACTTTCTGATCAAGGGGAAAACGAAGCGTTGCAAGTGTTTACTAGTTCAATCCATCCCGAATCCATGCCAGCCTTTCAACTCTGCAATTATGAGAGAGGAGAAATTCTGGCCGACTTGCCTTGGGGGTTGGTCTGAGGGATGAGGATTCAAGTAGAGAGGTGAATGGAGAGAGAAAGAGCAAGCCAATGAAAGATACCGAATTTCCCCACCTTTCTTAAACTCTTCCAGCATTGCGTCCAACTTGGTGTCATTGAAAACGAAGTGCAAGGGATGGTTATAAAACTTGGTGATGGTTTTTAAGGGAGTACAGTCATCTGGATCCACGAAGGCTAAGTCCTTTACAAAGAGCAGGTCCACGATGTTGGAGCGCTCTCCCTCAAACACTGGAATGCGAGTGTAGCCGCTCTCCATGATCTCCGACATAGTATTGAAGTCCAGTATGGCCTCGCCGGTGATCATGAAGCAGTCCCGGAGCGGAGTCATCACGTCCTCCACAGTCTTGGTTCGGAGCTCCAGCGCCCCTTGGATTATGTTCAGCTCCTCCTTAACGAGATCGTTGTAGGGATCAGTGACTCGGAGCATCTCTAGTAGCTTCTCCCGGTTGTACACAGTGCCTATCTCCTGGCCCAGGACACAGTCCAGTAGCTTGCTGACCGGGTAAGACGCGGGGAAAGTCATCATCATGAAGAACTTGGTGAGGAAGATGGTGTTGGCCCCCACTGCCAGGCCGTGGCGGGAGCAAATGGCTTGCGGGACGATCTCCCCAAAGATGACGATGCCAATGGTGGAGACCACCACTGCCACGAGGCCCGAGCCGGCGATGTCGTCCAGCAGGATGGTGAGCGTGGTGTTGACCAGCACGTTGCCCAGCAGCAGCGAGCACAGCAGGTAGTTGCCCTGCCTGCGCACGGGCTCGATGCGCTTGGCGTAGTTCTTCTCCTTCTCGGTGCCGCAGTTCTGCACGATGCGCAGCTCCATCGGGTCCAGGGCCATAAGCCCCAGGTTGAGGCCGCTGAACATGCCAGACAGGCACAGCAGTAGCGAGATGAAGATCACCTGCAGCCAGAAGGGAAGCAGGAACTTCTTCTCCTCTCCCACGATCATCTTGGTGTCCTCGCCATCGTGGTAGATCCAGGTGGTCTCGGCCCATGGGGGCGGCTGCAGCCCAGCCACCCCCGCGCCGCTCTTGGCAGAGCCTGCGACCCCCGCGGAGCCGGCGCCGCCGGCGCCCAGCGCGGGCGTGGACAGCGACGTGCACAGGTAGTAGGACTTGCTCTTCTCCATCTTGCGCAGCGGCTTGATCTCGATCTCGATGATCCCCGAGGTACGGCGGTTAAGCACGATGTGCGGCTGGATGATGATATCTGAGGTACGGATGCCGCAGCGCTGCGGGCCGCCGTCGGGCTCCGGAGGCGCGGGGCCCCCCAGCGCGCGCTCGCCCGCGCCGGGCCCTTGGCGGCCGCGCTCTTGCTCGGTGAAGGCGATGCGGGACCACGTCTCGTTGTTGATGTTCTGCCCGTACACCCGTAGCTTGACCTTCGTCCGCTCGCTTACCCGCAGCGCCCCCCCCTCCATGAAAGACACGTCGTTCGTGTCCTCCAGCCGCAGCCCGATGATCACCGTCTCCTCGTTCTCGCCGGCCGCCACGCAGCTGCCCGCGCTACAGCAGCAGCCCAGCAAGAGCACCGGCAGTAGCCGGCCGGCCGCCACGCGCAGGAGCCCCCGGCCGCGGGTGATGAGGCCGCGTCGCGCCGCCATCTTCCGAGTGGGCAGAGCGGCGGCGGCCTGCCCGCCCGCCATCTTTACTCCGGGTTCACAGGCTCCACAGCCAATCACGGGGCGGCTGCTCCCGCACCCGCTGCATCCTTACCCCCAGCGGCTCGAACCCCGGCCCCGGGGCGAGACCGCGACAGAGCGTCCGCCTCCCTGACTGAAGCCGACTGGGCCCGGACCGGCAAAGGAACCTAGAAGCTCACGGAGGAGGGCGGGGGGAGGGGAGTGCCCACCGCTCCCGCGACAGGCAGACCGACAAGCCAATCATGAGCCGGCGTCCACCTTCCCAGCCAGGAGGCTGGGATTAGGGGCGTGATTGTGCGGGTACCACAGGCCAATGATGAGGCGAATGGGAGGGGCGGTGAGGACCAGCATCCTCCTCAGCACGCCAAGTTTCCAACTGAAAGGCGCGTGACTCTTGTGTATGTGCGAGGGGAGAGGCGTGGCCCGCCGGGACCCGCAAGCCAGTCAAGAATGAGGACCGGCTGGAGGGGGTGGGGCCATGTGTCCTTCGGCCAATGGGAAGGAGCGGTCTGCGGGCCCCGAGTGACCCTTCGGCGCGAGGCTGCTCTGCACTTGTAGGACAGAACCCAGAAAAGCCGGCTAGAGACTGCTTACGGTGCACACAGGCTTAAGAAGAAATCGCCGCTTCCCTACCTGCGGTGCCCAGCACCGCTACTTGTGCGGCGGGGTAGCCGGCCGATTCCCGAGCCGCCGTCCCGAGCCTCCCGCCTGTCTCCTCTTCGGCTCGCAGTCACGTAGCGCCATCTGCCGGCCCCAGGCGCCCCGTAGCGCTTTCTGGGTTTGCCACAAACTTGAAGGTGTGCAGGCTTTGGGATGGGGAAAGTTAGCAGGGCAGGCTCCCGAACATCCAGTCTGAGGAAGTCCACGTAGTTTTGCTAAAAGTGCTATATAGATGCCCAGGACTGTATCCCATAAGCGCAAAACGCGAAAGGCGAGATAGGGATTTTGGGTTTTTTTGTGTGTTTGTTTTGGGGTTGGGTTTGTTTTGTTTTGCTGCAGACAGGGTCTCACCATGTAGTTCAGGATGACCTTGAAGTTACTATGTAGCCCAGGTTGGACTCACACTCATCGCTATCCTCCTGCCTCAGCATCCTGAGTGCTGGGATTACAGCTCAGCTAAAATTAGTATTTTTAACCCATACCCAGGTAAGTCTGACAACAGGATGAAGTCAGCATCTGAAGCAAGCCCATAAGAGCTCATTCCTCTTATTAGGTGTTTCATTAGTTTTACATTAATTTTACATAATACTGAATTTCCACGTGGTATTTTTATATTTGCGTATTTTTGCATTTTATCCATCCCTTATGACCTTCCCCACCTTTATTCTGCCTGTCTCATAATAGTCTCCTTTCTACTCAGAAGAGCTTACTCTGGTTACACAGACCCAACCCTGCTAGGTTCGCAGGTGGCTGGGAGAAGCGAAGCCTGGGGGACGTGCAGAGTTGCCACCCGACTGACCTGATTTCCTCACAAGTTAAAAACTGGCGAAGTAGTCCCCTCACTCCCCCCCCCCGCCCCCGCACCTGTTTCTGTGCTCTGTGAGCACACAGCCCTCCATGCTTGTGTTTACTGATGTTAATTTCTGGACGCACACTGGGCCTTCTAACAGGCCTCTCCCCCTCTAGGCCTGTCCCTTTCTCAGGCTGGCAGCCACCATCTTGTTAAATCAGGTTGGTGACTCCCTTGTTCGAATCCACACTGCCTTTTCATCACAGAGCAGCCAAAGGCCCACAGTCCCCTGGGCGCTCTGTGGTCTGAGGCCTGCCCGATCCCTGCACCCAGAGCCCGTCTCTCTGCCAGCCCGCGCTCTCCCAGGCTTTTCTCTGTAGTTCCTCAGTTGCACCAAGGCATTCCCGCTGGAACCCTGAGCTTGCTTTGTTTCCCGCGCTGTGTCCCTGCTATACATACAGCCCACACTGTCAGCTCTGCTCGAAGGCCCCCCCATTCCAGACTTGCAGATGCCATGCCCTGCACTCTGCTTTGTGTTTCTTCAAAGCGGGTCATCAGTTACTGATGTGCTATGTCAAATATTCATTGGGTTGGCTATGTCTCCGTCCACTAGAATTTAAGCTCCTGAAGGGTAAGAATTGTGTCTGTTTTGCTCAGCAGGGGTCAGAACAATAGTAGATACCCAAAACAATATGGGTAGGCCCTGGGGGACTTCTTACCCCTATAATCGCAGCACTCAGGAGGCTGAGGCAGGAGGCAGCTGGGGCTACATAATGAATTCAAGGCCAGCCTGGACTACATAGGAAGAACTTTCTCAAGAGAAAAAGAAAGAAGCCAGAATGTATAAAGTGTTAATGTCCTGGCTCCAGTTTCTAGCCCTTTGGTTTCTAGTGCTGTTTCTCCTGCCCCCAATTCTCATACTGCTATATTCAAAAAATAAATTCAGATAAAGGAAACCAGATTCACAGACTTGGCACAATGACAAGAATGGCACTGTGGCACATGTCTGTAATCCCCGTGATATAGAAGAAATACATTCCCAACCTGCTAGATGTTAGATGTGCCAGTCCATGGTCCCACCCCTCAAGGAATAAAGACGCACACCAAAGGAAGGCATTAGCAGAGTTTTATTGGGAATAAGGACAGAAGAGCTACTGGACTTCCAGGAGGAGTCCTGAGTGAGGTGGCCACCGAAGCTCTTTGTCACAATTTGGGAACAATGTGGGTCACAATACCATTAACTGATAGAATTACAAGTATAGCCAAGGTGCACAGAAAAAAACAAAGGCATTATGGGAAGAGATGGTCCAGATTCTCTGTTCACCCACCTTTGGCCACTAATGGCTACCTGGACTGACTGGACCAGGTGATGCTAATTACAGTATAATCTCAAAATTATTCTTTATCCCTTAGGCTACAGATCAGGTCTGGCCATTGCATCATCTTTTTTTTTTTTTTTTTTTTTTTTTTTTGGTCTTTTTGAGACAGGGTCTTACTATGTAGTTCAGGATGACCTTGAACTTCACTTTTTGTAGCTGAGGCTAGGCTTGAACACCCAGTGATCCTCCTATCTCAGCGTTGTGCATTCTGGCATTACATGTGTGCACCACTGCGTCTTCATTTTCAGGTCTGAACTTCTTCGTATGTGCCTCCAACCACAGCTCTGGTACCTTTATTTTTTTCTGCTGACTTCCTTGAAAACCCAGTCTCTCTCTGACTGTACTATATACTTAGTTCTGTCTAACTTAGCTACCTATAATACCAGCATTTGAAAGGATGAGATAGGACTCTCACCAGCTTGAGGATAGCCTGGGCTTCATAATGGGTTCAGGACCAGCCTGAACCACATAGATCTTGTTTCAAAAAACCAAAACAAAAGAGGTCATTATAGAAGTTTCAAAGAAGTTGGAGTTTTGAAGGATATCTGACAATGGCCACATGTGTTGCTTCTAGATAAATGATTAAAAATGGAACTGTTTTAAGTGTATGAAAAATGTGACCAGAAGTGTCCCAAGGCACTGATGGGAAGGTGATCAAAAGCTCTCATGTGGTGGATACACACTTCTGGAACAGGAATGGAAAAGCATGCGAGGTGAGACTGCCACACCTACAGACACTGCCTGTGCGTTTCAAGAAGGCAACAAGTCAGCTCTTAGAAACAAGTTAGAAATGGAGGGGTTAGTAACAAAGGTGTCCTGCCTGTAGCAAGAAAGATACTTCTTGGACAATTGGTGATATAAAATAAAACATGCTTGGATTCCCAGCAGATTGCTGAGCAGTCTTGTCCACAGGCTGTCAGCCGTGGAGTCACCTTCCTCATGTACATGCAAAACACACAGAGGAAACTTCATACCTGAGCCAGGTAACCTTTCCTTAGCCAAAGGCATCTTCCTTCAAATTGGGAGGCTTTTTGATACAAACGCCAGTCCTCTCTTCAGGGGCCAGCTGCGGATGCAGGCTAATGGTGACTTCCCCTTCTGTCCATCTCTAGGAGTGGGTCAATACATGCTTCTAGGGATCTCTTCTGAAATCTAGAAGGAAAAACTACAGTGAAATCCTGAGTTCTGATCATGTTTGAGGGCTCCAAAGGGCCTGAGCTTGTTCAGTAGTTACTGCCAACATCCAGTCCTAGCTTGGTTCTTTGACCTTGAGCAAATCATTAGAAAGCCAGTCTCCCCAAAATACCTTCACAACTAACCTGCTTGCCAGAATCCTTCCCCAGACACTAGGGCAAAAAGTACTTCAGTTTTTCTCATCTGTGAGGGATAAACTCCAGATCTGCAAGTGTGGGATTAGTCCACATGTCTTTTGGAGTTTAATGTACTTGATTTTCTAAAAGAGTACAAGTAGAACCCTGCATGTGTCCCTACATATTTGATTTTGCAACATAAAGCTCTGATTGTATAGAAAAGCACCTTTTTCCTGAAAATTTGCTAGCCAAAAAGAAGTATTTAGTTATTGCTTCAACAGCAACTTGGGACAGGAGTGGGGTGGAGCCCAGAGCTTCACATATAGCGTGTACTCTGCTACTGTGCTACCCAGGCTAAAAGTGGCGTCTCCGTCACCCCCATACACAGGTCTTTGGAGGAAAACAGAAACCAGGAAATGCTTGAGTTACCCAAACTTGGCCTACAATCAAATCTTTTGGCCCCGAGAGGGATTTCTCAGAAGCAGCACTGTCCACTTGCTTAACCATGCAGAACTCTTTTAGGTAAACTGAGAATTTTCCACAAGTTAGCAAGAATACCCAAGTAAAATAAAATCTGCAATGTCATTTACTTGACTCAATTATATGAGGGGGCAGGGTGCTGGGGACCAAACACAGGCCCTCATTTGTACTGGGTAAGGGGTCCTCCACAGGGCTTCCCATCTGCTGCTGATGTCAGATGTGCCGAGCTCACGTCCCCTGAAATTGAAGAATGAATTCCAAGGAACACAGGTTAAGCGTAGGGAAGGTTTCTTGAGAGGTAGCTCCTGACAGAGACAGGAGACGTCCCAAAAGCAGATGGCCACTGAGGCCCCTTGTCAGGGGTCACTTGTGCAGCCCAGTCACAACAAGGGGTACAACGTGGGTCAAACCACCACCTATCTGTAGGATCACAAGTACAGCCACTTAGCTGATACGGATCCAGTAGGGAAATGGGTCACACAGCCAGTGTGCACGGAAAGAACAAAGTTATCTAGGGAAGGAATGCATCGGGATGCTCTGTTAACCTACCTGGGCCACTGATGGCTATCTGCACTGACTGGACCAGGGAGTACTGATTACAGTGTATCTCAAA